GTTCTTTCATTCACACATTCCTCTCCATAACCTGAGTGAATGTTTCTAGCCGCTTCGGCTGCTGAGTTTCCTTTCTTAAATTCATAATGCATTATGTGCCTCAAATGATTCTTGGTTACTTCCATGTTAGCAGGGTTTTAATCAAACAAAATTTAATTTTATTGTTCTCTGAAATAAAATTTGATCAGTTTAAATGCATCTAAACAAAAAAATAATGTTCAGCTCCATTAGACATTATAAAACACTCTTTAAATTTCGTTCATATTAAAGAAAAATTTAAATTTGGACAGAACTTATAGAATGACCTGATATATACATACATATATATATATATATATATATATATATATATATATATATATATATATATATATATATATAATATACTCAAACTGAAGCAAGTATTAAGATAATATTAAAAATTGAATCAATTAAGGCAGGAAAAAGCAAAAGAAAATTCGGGAAGAGGATTGTATAATAAAGTGACAAAAGGAAAAACAAAAAATAGACGGTATGCAAAAAAATTATATAGAAGAAAATTAGAAAAAAATAAGTATAAATTTCAACGTTACCATTAACTGGCGAATATCAACTGGCGGTTGTTTTGAGTGAATCTCAAATCAACAAGCGCTTGGTTATGCCGACATTGGAAAAAGGGGAACGCTCTATTAGCAGAATGGTCTCGGGAATTGCCAAATTCAGATATTCCACTTTTTGCCAATTTTTTTTTATTTTTAATTTCGCCAGTTTACATTTCTACATATTTAAATATTTGTGGAAAATATCCACTTTGTTGGGCAAACAATCAAGTCAAATATCTACATTCAGTTGCCCACTCAGCATGGAGTCCCATTAAAATGTAGTATTGAGATTTAACGCTAAAAATGTACCATCATCTTATGCAGATGTGTCTACAAACTCACCGGTATGTGTGTGTGTATATATATATATATATATATATATATATATATATATATATGATAAAATATAATATTTAAGGCGTGCTATATTTATGGGATAATATGCTCAATATCTGGGCGAGTGTATGTAAATATAAAAGTGAACACTCAAGTCAATTTAAAAAAAAAACGACAGGCTGTTTCGTGCTTTTGCAATCGTCAGGCATTTGGGCCTAGCACGAAACAGCCTGTCGAATAAAGTATTGACTTCAATATTCTCTATATATATATATATATATATATATATATATATATATATATATATATATATATATATGCTGAGGTAAGTCTTAAAAGAAAATTAAAAATTAAAAATATGATTGCTGATAGGAAATAAAAAAATACGGGAATAGGATGGCATAAAAAGGAGATAAACACACACACACATACACACATACACACACACACACACACACACACACACACAAAACAAAAATATACAAAAAAAAACAAGCAAACAATAAAAAATAAGTTAAATACAAGAAAATTACAAAAAATGAAAGTGTTCATTTCAACGATAGCGACAACTGGCGAAAGTCAATTGTCGGGAGTTTTGAATAAATATCAGATCAAGAAATAGTTGTTGATGCCAACATTCGAAACAGGAGTAGAGTTTATTACCCGAGGCAGAATGGTGTTGGCAATTCCAAATTCGGAAATTCTATTTTTTTCCAAATTCTTTTTAACCGTTTTATTTTTTTTTTTTTTTAAATATTTGTGGAAATTTTCAACTTTGTTGGGAAAATCCTCAAGCCAAATTTCCCTATTTATTTTCCCACTCAATATGGACTCCCATTAAAATGTAGTATTGAGATGGCATATTACTGCTCAGTTAGACTTTCTCGTCAGTATTTTACTGACTAGGTATAATACGATATCAGATGTAGTTTAAGAGCGAAAAATGAAAATACAGTTACTCCTTGAATTTTTTTTTTTATCGAAAAACATAATGTCTATTGTTATTTAGCGACTTTTCCCTAGCTTTGATTTTTTGGGAGACAAAGCAATTATCAGGTAACAGAAAATATCGACCAGACTGTAATTTGAGTTCCTCAAAGTTTTTCTTTGTAATTTACCAAATTGGCGAGTCAAAGTATTGCGTTCTTTCTCGAATTCCATATATCACAATGTATCACATTGTATTTATGAAAACTGTCTCAAATTCTTCTTTGTAAATTACTGCCAGGCCTTAGTAATATCGTGTTACGAAAACGATATTTTTCATCATTATTTACATTATTCGGACTATTGTCCTCATCTTTGTTGCCATATTTATCGCAACATTTCGGCCGATGTACGCTCGGGCCTTCTTCAGGTGGTTGGAATGTCGAACTCAACCATTTATTCCGCTCACTGAGGTAGACTGTTCTAGGTCCACGTGCCATGTCTAATGGATGTCAGTTATCAGTTATCTCCTGTTAATTCCTATTTCCAAATTCTTCACCGCCTTAACCAGGTATTGAACTCACACTCTTTGGGTCGTGTCACTGGGTCTAATTAACGCCTTCATCCACAGTGGATAAAGGCGTTGGTTGGAAGAATTAGATGAAGAATAAGAAGAGGTAGAAGAAGTAAATGAATATGAGGATGATGATGGTGGTGGTGGTAAAGAAGAAGAAGAAGAAGAAGAAGAAGAAGAAGAAGAAGAAGAAGAAGAAGAAGAAGAAGAAGAAAGCGTGTACTTACAGAATATATTTTCGAGCGTACTGGTAATACCTTTGTATTCTGAAAAGGTAGCTTTTTTTCTGTCACCTGCTAATTCCATTGTGATAATTCATATTTCTTTATTGTCGAAGTACAGAGACATAATAAATAGGTCAGTATCAGTCCCATGGAAGACAATGGTTTTCTTTTGCAGGCTACGTCTAAAACTGTAGACATCATTTATTTGATTCTCTAAAAGCATTGCTGAATATAGCATGGACGGAACATATGAACAAGGAGAAAACTATAAGGAAAATGGAACAAAAAACAAAAGACACTGAAACGTGGGATACAGAAATCCGACGACACACTGGCACATTAAAAATGCTTACCAGAAACTAAGCATAATATTAAAAGACCGGAAATTTGATTCGGGAAGAAATCCAAACGTTACAGAATATTAATCCTTCTATATGTAGAATTTCCTCACAGATGAAGAAAAGATTAGAAGCAACAGAATATAATTCTACAGAGATACTGCTAGTTATAGCAGTAGAGCCCGGCGTTGCCCGGGGATGTAACAGTAAGAGATAGATCTAGTATCGACCATCATAAAGACTGAAAAATAAAATTGACAAAGATTACTGTTTAAGGTTGACGGACACGCATGTCTTAATTAGTTTTTTTTTGTTTTTTTTTACGAATTGGTCAAACCCAAACAAAAACATTGTTTTCAATCGTTATAAGTCTACCGATTGAATAGAAATGTCTTGTAAAGGGAATTTTTAATGCATTCTGAATATAAAAATAAAGAAAAGTGTGCAAGACAATAAGAAACACTACCTGCCAAAAAAAAAAGTGAAGTTTTGTTGAAATCGATTGAAAAATGTAGGAAATCCGATCCCATATATAAACGAACAACACACACACACACACACACACACACACACACACACACACACACACACACACAAACAATCTGGGTTTTATAATAAGTATAACTCGATATGAGTTATCCTTCTTTCATTCTCGCGACAGAGATGCCTCTTAATCGTGTTTTCAAATTGATTTCGTGCAAAAACAATTGTGTTTTCCCAATTTTCGACGCTGTCAGAACCACCGCAAGGTAATTGTACGTAATCCTGTGAAGTTTAGTTGAAATCGGTTGATAAATGTAGGAAATCCCATCCAACGTATAAACGAACAGACAAACACACAGCCTGGGTTTTATAATAATTATGATTCCATTGCACTGAACATAGGGACAATGAGTAGGTTTTAAGCAAAATCGGAAATCTCGTGTAATTGTTTATTGGTTCGTTTTTTACGTTTTGTGGGTTATCTAAATACAGAAAACATTTTTAGCTTGCAAGATTTTTTTTTTATATAAAATATTGGTTTAGTTAATTAACCCACAGTAGGAGGGGAGAAGAAACGCACCCATACATTTCCTAAGTTTATTAATGCGTAAGTCTATATAAGCAACCCATAAAAAAATCTTCAATTAAGGATGCAACATCTTAAATTCAAAGCAATTAAGGATTGTTGACAATATATAAACGAATCCGTGACTGACTTGCCGTAGTAGAGCGGCTTTGCAGGGTTCCAGTGACTCGAGGCGCCATACTAGCGGAAGTTTATCATTTGGCTGATCCAAATGAGCTAGAAAAGTTAATGAATAGATGTTAAACAAAACTTTGTTCACTAACAGGACCAAACTTCAAAGATAAAACCCTGGAGTTGCATCAGCTGGCGGATGCTTTGTGTTATACCAGAACATTACCTATTCTATTGTAATAGACTCTCCCACAGATAATAAGTAGTAGTAGTAATGGCGGTCGCCAGTTGGGCTCAGTGGAGTTGAGCGAGTCAGTCGATGTCGGACATTGAAGTATCAACCATCACAACTAGATTGATGTGTCATTAACTATTTTTTCAAGTTCCTAACGTTTTGTACGTCGAAACTAATTTAGGACGACTTATTGAAATACAAGTCTCCACTTTGAAAACTACTTTACAACACATTTGGCGACGAGGAATTCGTTTCTCATACGGGAAAAGAAAAAGTTTTCGTTCAGTCTATAACAACACATTAGCGACCAGGATTCGAAATTCATACGAAAAAAAAAAATTAAAGCAAGAAAAAATAAATTCGTTTCGCCATATATAACACTTAGCGACGAACGTATTTTGGATTCATACGGAAAAAAAATTGCGTTCACTCTAGAAAACTTTGGAAATCGAGGCCATTATCCATTACACGCACCGCACATCCAAGATTACAGCACCTGGTCTTATCAAATGGTCACTCATCTAGATACTCGATGTTGATCAACTTCGGTGATCGTACCGGAACCAGGGTTCAATAAAATGTGGCAGTAAGACATTATGAGTGAGTTAGTAGTTCACTTTTGAACAGACTGCTCGGTTGAACTCTCATCCTACGGGCGGGAGGAACCTGAAGGAGGCTACGCCGAAGGGCGGAGTCTCCCTCGGGGAGGAAAAAACCGGCCCTGAACCCGTTTATACGGGCTCAAATGGGCTATTTTTTGGCCGAGCCTAATGGCTCGGGAATGCCCACGTTAAAAAGGCCTTGTGCCACATGACATCCTCGTGGGGGGGGGTGACTCAATATCGTAAGACATTATGCCTAAGATCAGAAAGAGACAGTTGACATTTCCGGGATACATAATGAGAAAAAAGCGCTTGGAGAATATGACACTCACAAGATATAGTGAAAAGAAAACTGCGAGTAACCCACCTCATGACCGTTTGTAAGTAGATGGAAGAAAAAAAGAGAGGGTGTATAGTAAAAAAGGCAAATATAGCTAAGACCAGATATAACAAGATGTGGAGAGTCGTGCTATATTATGAAGGGGCACAATTCCTAAAAATAAAAAAAAATAAACAGAACTCGAGCAGTCACATAGCATTGAACTAAATTTGAAACAGTGTTTTTCATTTTTTATGGTTCTTTCGCTTTTTGCCAGACGAGTATCTCTTTACTTGACACAAATCTTAACCTGTTCCTTTCCTCTTACTGAGAGGACATATTGATGGCAAGACGGACAGAGAAAAACAACGCATAACCTAACTAGAGAGCTTGACTATATGGATGACTGAACAAGGTTTAAAAAAGATAACAAAATTTATTAACTTCCCTATGACTCCAAACGACCCTCCAATCATCTACACAGTGGGAACAATCTTCTGAAATGAGATCTTCCCTAAATATAATAAAGCAATATTTAGGATTTTAACCCTTTTCAACGACCGGCTGACTGAATTAAATGCCGAGTAAAGTGAAAACATGCAAATGTCAAGGAATAATATTTCCAGGCGTCATGATGTCAAGTTAAAATGCGGGTCTCATAGAAAAAATAGTAAGTGCAATTTTCCAATATACGCCGCCATATATATGATTCTTTTTTAAAACTACCATTCTCCATCATTTTCTCGTACATTCATATTTGCTCAATGCGTATCCAAATGTAAACAAATGACGTCACACATTATGAAATGGACAAAGTCCGATAATTATTTTAAGACATTTTTTTTATGTTTATACGTTCTTTTTATAGATACAAATATTTAAGTAAATGCTCTGTTTATGATAAACAATATTAACGACATTTACTGGCCTGAATGTCCGATAACTTTTCGTAGAAAATATTCATCCTCTGACAGGAATCGAACCTGAATCCTTTACAGAACCGTCATGTAGCCTGACGTGTTTTACCGATTTAACCACAGAGGAGCGTTTTCGGTTAGCAAGGTCGATTTTAATGGGGGTTTTTTTGTTTTTTGTTTGTTTGTTTGTTTTGTTTTGTGTTTTTTTTGTTTTTTTTAGTTTAAAAAGAGTAAAATATGATTCTTTAAATAAACATATTATTTCCTGGTGCCCCGGGTACATAAATTTAAGCGTGCTACTAGTTTGACATCTTTTACCGTTGAAATAGTTAGATGCAACCGCCACTTCTACATCAACTATTTCTTTTCTCGCACTTCCAGCTTGTGAAAATCACTTCTGTTTACTTGCTTCCGTGATAACCACAATCTACAACTTAAGTTAAATACAACTTCAATCGCCATCATCTATCTTCTTGAATCCCGTTCATCTTTTATACTTCCCTCAATTCACCCCGTATTCAATCTTTTCTCTCACTTTCACTCTCTGTAACACCCTGCATACTAGTGGCATTCCTGCCTTCCTTTGGATGAAATGATCAAAAAAGATTAATTTGAAGACGCCCTAACAGAATTTTAATTTAAATTTATACGCCCTTGAATATTCAGAGATTTCTCGAAGAGTACCTATAACTTCCGTTTTTGGTACTTCGTTCCCAGCTTTACATTTATGTGATTCCATTTCTAAAAACATTTATTCTGAAGAAGTCCTTTCAAAGGTCGAAATGCGTCACAACTTCTTCCAGTTCTCTGATGCTGAAAGACATTGAAATATAATTTAATGATTACTTCTCAGTTATAAGGACGTATCTTTATTTCTTTTAATCTACAATCGGGAGATGGGTTGTTTGATTACTTAGAGGAACACCGGTCACGTAAGAGCTACAAAATAGGAAATTGCGGAGAGCCATATTCGCCAACGTTCTGAAGAGACACGACACTTTTAAAAAGAGGGCAGAAATCTTATGTTACTGCTTATTTTAGATTAATTGTCAGTTACTACTGTCCGATTATCACCCGACATTTTTATTCAGAATCTGATCCCTGTAACAGAACAAGTCTATCACATACGTTCGACATTCTTCGCATTCAATCGATATCGATTTCCTGTTAAGTATTGTAGCTATACATATCCGTTTACTTTCTGAAAAAATAAGGAACAAAACGCATTATTTGGGAAATGGCACAATAACTTGAGTTTTTCATTCAGTCTATGTACAGTGCGGACAATAACAGAAGGTCAGCATCATTGTTGCACTATATTTAAGATAGATAGATAGATAGATAGAAAGAAAGAAATAGACTGAGATAGATTGATAGAGAGATACATACATACATACATACATAGAAATAGACTGAGATAGATAGATAGATAGATATAAAGAAAAAGACTGAAATAGAAAGAAAAAGGCTGAGATAGATAGATAGATAGATAGATAGATAGATAGATAGATAGATGAAAAAGACTGATATACATAGATAGATAGAAATAGACTGAGATAGATTGATAGAGAGGTACATACATACATACATAAAAATAGACTAAGATAGATAGATAGATAGATAGATAGATAGATAGATAGATATAAAGAAAAAGACTGAGATAGAAAGAAAAAGGTTGAGATAGATAGATAGATAGATAGATAGATAGATAGATAGATAGATAGATAGATAGAAAAAGACTGAGATAGATAGATAGATAGATAGATAGATAGATAGATAGAAATAAATAAATAAAAAGACTGAGATAGATAGAAAGAAAGAAAGAAATAGTATGAGATAGATTGGTATATAGATACATACATACATACATACATAGAAATAGACTGAGATAGATAGATAGATAGATAGATAGATAGATAGATAGATACCAGGTTATCTAGAAATTCCTCTAGTAAAATAATTTTCTATTTCGAAGGTAAAAAAAAGAATATGTAATGACTTTAAAAGAAGAGGTAGGCATAAAACTAATCTGAACTATTTTTTGTTTTAAGGTCAAGTTTAAAACTGGGAAAATTATTTTCAAATTATTTATTAAACACTGCCTCAAAAATTCCGAAGTACATAAAATATTTAATAAGACACAGTTAAATTAAGCTACAGTTTTACTACTAATTTAAAAACGGGCAGCAAAACATTGTCAACAGTAATATATGCAATTGTAGAAAAAAAATAAATGCCCATTACATGATGTTTGGAAAACTGAAGCAGTGATTTACAAAGCAGAATTAATAGATGCAAATGGCCAGAAAAAATATACGTAGGTTTTTCTGAAAATAACTTTTTAAAGAGGTTGTAAAATCATAAATCATCTTTTAAGCTAGAAAGCCTTAGAAATTCTATTAAACTAGCCAACCAGTCAACTAACCAATAAAACAGAACCGATTTTAAACTTGAAAAGTTTTAAAAAGGCAAAACCTTACAACAATCATGGCAATATCTGTAAACTTTTTCAACAAGAAAAATTAGAAATAATGACATTTACAGACTAAAAATCTTTTAAACGAGAGGCCAGAAATTATGTCCAGTTGTATACATACTAAAAATGTTCCTTTTGAGTTAATTTGAGGTGGGATAAAAAGAACTTATGTATATTTCATTTGCCCCCACCCACACATCCGATACATTTCCAATACACTTGATTTCCCCCTATTACCCCGCCTCACCTGCTACCACATCTAGATAGATAGATAGATAGATCACGTGAGATAAATAGATCTAGAAAGTTGACAGTAGAGAGAAATGAACGCAATTAGATAGATAGATAGATAGATAGATAGATAGATAGATAGATAGATAGATAGATCAGCATATCACGTGAGATAAATACAAAAATTGGAGTAGAGAGAAATGAACGGAATTAGATAGATAGATAGATAGATCACGTGAGACAAATAGATCTAGAAAGTTGACAGTAGAGAGAAATGAACGGAATTAGATAGATAGATAGATAGATAGATAGATAGATAGATAGATAGATAGATAGATAGATAGATAGATTTTGATATGCGAACTTACGCAGAAAAGTTTTTGGCTCGAACTAGGGAGTGATTCTAAAATAAATGGTTTCGTTTGATCCCATTTTGGGATGTGGAATTTAAAGATACTTTTTCAGAAATCCTTCAGTTACAGATTGAGATTATTCTTTAATACATAAGCTGGTTGGATTCGGCATAAATAATTTTGCAAATGAGCATACGGTTATCGTTGTAATGAAATCATTCATCACATGCCGCTCCAGAAAGAACCCGAGGTGTTCTATTAAGTCAGATACGTCCACAAATGGAGTATTGCTGCTATATATTATCTGACAGAGTTCGAACCCGCTTATGCAATCATATAGGCGATGAATTAATTTCCATCTACAATTCCTTTCGTAAAAACACAACGTTGCAATCCCCTCCCATTCTGGATATATTCCCTTGTTCTACCAATTCAGACATTTACAGCAATGAATAACGATGCCATTTACACAGAGGGTAAACCATCCCATTTCTCTTCGTATTCTATTGGTAAAGAGGAAGTTCAATTCCCAAGAGCCAATGTTTCATGAGAGGTTGCTTTACTTAAGACTACAACATTAACCTCTTCAGATCTAATGTCAATCACTGTCTATCCTACATACACTAATAATCTACAATTATTCCCTCAATAAAACATTCCGTAATTAACTTCATTGAGTAGTTCTTGGGCATTGTACTGAGTGAACAACAGCGTGAAAAAATATCTGATCTACATAACTGACCCAACCAGCCTAAGTATTTATGATTGAATAGAATGCGTTTAAGATCATCAGGACCTTTACTTGATGCAATAACGCCTTTCGGGGAGGGTGTTATGGTAATTACATAGTGTATGTAGCTTCCCCAAAAGTATAGTCAGTTCCTCACGAATATGTGCGGTCATACGGTTAACAATAACAATTTTTGGTGCGAAATGAAATTATACTGTTATTTTTCTATTACTTTATCAATGTAAACTTTTCCAGCTCGTATTTCGAAACCGTAAAAAAATAATTTATTGGCGTAGCATATTCTTTTTCTCGTTTATCTTCTTCTAAATATCCGTATGTTGTCTCTACTCGACAGGATTTTTCCTCCAAAATATATTTTATGTACACGCTTGCCCTTTCGTCGAGGCTTAGTTACGCTGAGGGCATCAGCTACAGAAAGGTTAAACCTCACCAAAAAGGGCCCACGTTAATCGTGGATACTCCCAGAATCAAGATATAACCAGAATTATGGTTACCTTTTGATTCAACTATAAAAGCACAATAGTTTCGACTCCAATATACAGTGGAATGAGAAAATCTTATTTATGTTTAACTTTTGAGAAAAGTATACATCGACATGATGTCTAACTTTTGACTCGAGTATCAAGAGCAGGTATGCCTAACTTTTGACTCTAGTATAAACCGGATTTATATCTAATTTTTGTGAAAGTGTACACCAAAATGACATAAAACGTTTGACTCGAGTATCAACGGCAACCATGTCTAAATTTTGATTCGAGTATAAACCGCAAAGATGACTAATTTCTGACTAAATTATTAAACCAGAATTCTATTAACTTATCTAATTAATTGAGCCCATGAGATGTATCCGATATAAAAAAGAATATATTATTAAATTAATCTAAAACGTACACATATAAAATTAATTTTTCCATTATATTATTATTATTAGGATTATTACACCGTCTACATTGGGTACATGTTTCTGGGCTATTTTCTTACGCTGGATCTGAAAATCCTTTTTCCAATCACATCACGTTTTCACAGTACAGATTGGTACAGTATAAAATTGGCCAAAATGCCCATTTAACAGTGATATACCAGGGCCAAGTAGAACCAACCTTAAACGTTTTCAGGTTAGAAAACCTTATCATAAATGAAAAGTATCCCAATAACTTAAAGAAGGCATTTTCAGCAAATTCATTTCAGAAAAACTTTTTAGAAAAATCTCACACAAAAATTAAATTAAGGCAAACATGTGTCATCAATTTTTTAATCAAAACAGATACAAAAAGAATGAAAAACACATTCAATTTTGTCCATCCAAAGGTATAAATCTTCTCTTCTTGAAAACTCTACGGTGCTTTTGAAAAGGCTGATCAGCCATTATGTCAACATCCTATCTGCAAAGTGCCTAGTTGGCTATGCTTATGTGGTGTTTGTCGGCTATTTTAAACGCTGATAAAGAAAATACTAATCTTGCTAGTCTCCAATACACTCCGTAACACCCTAACAACCCTCATTTATCGATGTTACTATACATGCTTTACAGAGACTGCATGACAATACCAGACCTCCGTAAATTTAAATGATATGATAAAATCTTATGACGATTTCAGGCTTAAGGTTAAAACTACTAATAAAAACTAAAATCGATGTTATTGAATAACTTCTAAAGAGCTTCTTCTATGAGTAGTAGAGAAGAAATACAAATCATAAAGTTTTAAAAAGATAAGAACATTGAGGGCACAAGGACATTTTTCCAATGAGATATCTCTCATAAAATCAAGCATTTTTATTTTAAGTTTCTGTAAAATAGGTCAGCTTATCTGAACTGAAATCAGCTTACTCCTTTGGTCATCCATGCAGGAATTTTTTTGGATCTAACCATTTCTTGAAGTTCTTTGGCGAGTTTTTTGTGCTGTATTTAAATTGAACTGAAATGCGCAATCCAATCTGCCTCTTCGTTGTGTTCTTTAGGGCAAGCCCATATTTTCAGAACTGTATAAATTTTAGGGGATACAATTCTTTGAAATCGGTTTGAAAAATGTTTCAACTATCTTTTTTCACTCGCATCTTTAGCCCGTTGACATTTCTTTAGTTGATAGGAATTATTGACATTTTTGGTTCTTGTTTTTTTTGCTAAACTGAAAATAAGGTGAAATTATCTTTAATTAGAAAACGTGATATGATGGGGGGTAAAATGGACTTTTTTTTTAATTTTCAGATTCAGCGTGGCAAAAATTGCTTCATTGAAACATGTGTCCATTGCCCAACAATATTTGGCTCGAAAAAAATGTCAACTATTATTATTAATTCGTTCTTCGAGGAATTGATTCAGAGAAAATCACGTAAAAAATGTTACTTTCGGGAACAAATATGGGAGATACTCCCAGGATAACCATGCTGATAAGGGTATACAAGGGGTATGCATCATTGGTGCAATATAGTGAGTTCTTCACATGAGCAGCGCATAACCTTGTTGGTGCGACTCATTTAGAAATCGGTTTATGTCAGGTAACCCAGTCCGCTTTTTCGATCAGTTGATGTTGTTTCCCAAATATCTAAATGATTTCCGAGTAAGCCTAGTATCCAATTATTCAACTACTCCCACTCGTGAGCAGAGATGAGCAATGCTTTGCCTTAACGGGAACAGACCAAACTGGCAAATAACAAGAAAATTAAACTATTGGACGAGTTATTTACGGTGATTCAATTTAATTCAAGAGAGGAAAACGTAAAAAAAAAAAAAAAAAAAAATTTACATTCGGTTAAAATTTGACGATATTCCTTCTTAAAAAGCCATGATGTAAATTCCGTTATTTTTAAAGTCGTTGAAAATAGCGTTGTTTAAAAAAAAAAAAAAAAAAAAAAAAAAAAAAAAAGTTTACATTCGTTTGTCTTTGCTGAAATTTAAAAATAATTTATTGGCCCATATTATTATTATTATTATTATTATTAAAGTCGTTGAAAATAGCGTTGTTTTTAAAAAAAAAAAAAAAAAAAAAAAAAATTATTATTATTGACAAACATTGAAAACCAAGGGATATGTGAATGAGAAAAAATTAAATAATTGGTTTAATCTATCAGTATTTATTACCCTTTTTTAAGCGTTAAAGCAAGTATTTACGACTTCCCTTTCCGAATATTTTAATTGTCAGCATAAAGTGACCATAAGTTGTGGGGTCGTTATTAAGTAACACTTCAGATTTTTGCATTCTGTGAGTGTCATCTTGGATACCTAAAGCCGCCTGAAGTGAGACAGCGGAAAACTGGGATCATTGTGCATTCTACAGATATATTAAGCTTAGTTTAGTATCCAATTCCAAATTAAAATACAACATCGCTAGGATAACATTTTGGATGATTCCTCATTGTGCTATTATTTTAGAGCAGTGGTTTTCAACCATTTTTGCCCAATGCACTCTTTGCTCCCTATGTCAGAATGTCATTGCCCCCATTTTCAAGAATATCCAACTCAAAAGGTGCATTCCAAATAATATGCCTCTTTTATTAAAAATCTTTATTTACTTTGATATAAGTACAGATTCCTTTCCATGGATTATGTTTATAGAGGAGTTTTTCAAATTCAAACAATAGAAAATGTTGAATACCTGCACAATAATTGTTTTAATTTATAACTAAGTAATTATTAAATAAATAAAATGAATCATTAATTAATAAAATGAATCATCAATTAATTAAATGTTCACTACAATATCAGGGTATTGTAATTCAGTAAACAAAATTCTGCAAATAAAAAAAAATTAAAAGTAAAAGATTCCACGGTGAAATACTGAAATCCTGAGGGATATACATCCATGTTTGAGAACCCTTGTTATAGGACAATGGTAACTGGCGGTGCCCTTCTCCTCTCCAAATACCACTTTACATGTAAAAGAAAGTTACATGGCATCCGAATTAAAGAATAATCTCAGAACTGACCTGTTCTTGGAAAAGAGATCTGAAGGAACTAAAGTTTCTCTCCAGGCCATTAAATTCCGAGGTTGGTATAAGATAAATTCCAAAACACATGCAAAATATTAAGGAAGAGAAAATCTCATAAGAAAAAAAGGAAAGAGTAGTGAAATGTTATGTCATATCGGTCCTCCTATATATGGTAGGAAATGCTGGACAATCTCCTCACAGATGAAGAAGAGACTTGAGGCAACAGAAATGTAGTTCTACGCAAAAAAGTATTTAGAATACGACGATTTTAAAATATAGCGTAGTTTTTGTGAAAATGGTAACAAAAGAAGACTCAAAAGAAGGTATTAAAGGCATGATGAACAAATGTAAAAGGATAGCAGAAAAGAAATTAGGAGAAAAGTTAAAATTTATTAAGAGCTACAAAGGACTGGAACTTGTGAAAAGCCAAGATCGTCAAAGTCTTAAAGGAACAGTCCGCAAATAAGAATAAATTACGATTGTTCTCCACTGGCTTCAACGTAAGATTTGCGAGCCATGTTCATCTTGCTATTTAACTCATATATGGGGAAAAGATGGATCTTTACCTTTTTTTTAACGGTATTACTCTGAAGGGAACGCAATAGACTAGATCGAAAATTAAACTCGTCTCACTGATTCTAATTCTCACCCTGATAACCTTTATGCTACCGGCACATAACTTTCATCAATAAACCAAACCAGTTACATTCTATCATCGCCGGTCGGACCTCGAAATACCGTCAGTCACTTTGAATGGATATCGCCTGGAGTCGGCTTCATAACTTGAGCGACCATTACGCATGAAACTTAAACCAGACCTCAAGTGGAACTCGTACATGCCAATTACTGCTCTAGTAGTAGTTTGTGACCACAGCCGAGATTGAACTCACCAATACATTGATTGGTGTAGTTCATAATCTTGTCAAGTAGCTGAATTCGCTAGGGCTATCAAGGGTGTTTTTATCGTGACACCATCACTAAAAGGATTGCCAACCAAGGCTCAGAGAGACTCCATTCACCCTCCTCTAAGAGCAGGTTTTCCTTCTCCTAGACCAGTTGCCATCCAAGGCTATAGAACCCAGTCTGTCCTGCTATTTACCCATAGCTGGAGGGAGAAGAAAGAGGATTCACACCTTTCCCAAGGGTGTTAGCACGTAAGTGAATGTAATGGATTCGACTGGAATTCGAACTCGGCTCTCCGATTCCTCAATCTAAGCCGCTATCC